TTCGGCTGAGCAGATTGCTTCTTCTTCCTTTCGTCGAGTCGTTGGTCCCTGTTCGGACCGACGCTTGCCTTTCCCGAAGAAGGGTGACGTAGTGGGTGGCCATGTCATTGGATGGTCCGTCCGAGTTGTCGTTCATCTCGTCGCTCTTGTAGTGGACGCGGAAGAAGTGGCTTCCTGACGTCCTTCATGCGATGGAGTCTCCAATCTCTGGCTTTGGCGATGTAGTGCTTCATGCACGCGTCATTATCGCAGTCCTCCCATCTGGCGTTGTCTTGGTAGCATTTGTCGTGATAAGCGGGGTCTGGTCGGAACGTGAGCCGACCCTGACTGTATTCGTCCATGTGTAGGATCCATTTGCGACTCTCCTGTCCGAACTCTACCTTCACTCGTGGCTCGATCCAGTGATTGCGCGGGAGAAACCGGTGTGCGGCCTTCTCCTTGAAGTGGTATTCACAGTCGTCGTAGACGCATTCGGGCCAGAACAACTGGTAGTGTTGTTCGTGGGCGTGGTGAAGTGCCGGGTGGTCTCCTACCATGAGTCGTACGTTTTCTTTGGTGCTTTCTCGCTTTCGGGTGCTGGCCTTCCATGGTTTGGTCCCGTAGTAGATGAGTTCGTTCCATGGTACCAGGGGGTCATAGTCCTCGCTGGCGCTGCTAACTTCGTATGCCTGCATAGGCATGTGGGGTTGGGTCTGTCCGAGCGGAGATTCTTCTTCGCTGGCTCGTGTGTATTCATCCCATTCTGTGTCGTTCATCAGTCCTACGTGGGGAGCTGATTGTGGTTCTGGGTGAGCATGTTCGTAGGCTCTTTCTTCGTCTGTATCGATTTCCTGGGTCTCCGGCGTTACTTGCTGGGCCCATTTCTGAATTCGTCTTTCCTTCCTGGTGGTGACCATCATGGCCAGGGTTCTTTGTCCCGTAGGTGCCCTGGGGAACCATCCATTCTGTTCCTTACTGTCTTTGTGGGTCAGGCAATCGTCCTGGTAACAGAAGGTCCAGTTAGTTTTGGCATGGTCCTGGTGTTGAGTATGGTTGAGCTGTCGTTCGTTTACGGGTTTCCAGGGTTTCTTAGGTTGCCGGCATTCTCGAGCCATATGCCCGTTTTTGCCGCAGTTGTAGCATTTCATGTCCTTGAGATCCTTCGGTTTGCCATGTCTGGTATTGTCGAGCTCCATGGGTCCTGCATGGGTGGTCTGTCCCCAAGCCGTGCTGACGCGGGGTTTGTCGTGCTGGTACTTGCGTCCTTGATTGGATCGGTGGTGGGGAATGCGAGGGTTCCATGGTCCTATAGCGGGCTTTCGTCCCTTTTCTATTCTGCGTTCGTACTGGCGATCGTCGATTTTGACGGCCATGGCGATGTACTCGGTGAGGGTTTCGGGTCTATCCTCCCGGATGAGGTCGTCCTTGACGGCGTCTTTGAGTCCTTCGTAGAAACGGGCCATGAGAGCGGACTCTGTCCAATCGAGTCGACTGGCTAAGAGTCGAAACTCCGTGGCGTATTTAGTGGCTGGCCCCGTCTGTTTGAGCTGAAGGATTTTTCTTTCGTTTTGTCGTTCCTCGTCCACGTCCCCAAACGCTCCTTTAATGGCTTCTTCGAATGCGTTCATACCGGCGTAGATGTCCTGGGTGGCCTGCTTCATATCTTCTTTCTTGGTGTGGGTGGAATAGTCCCTAATGAAGGGTTCGAACCAGTGCAAGGCGTCCCCTTTGAGGTAAGAGGAGGCGTTGGCGACCTTCTCGCCCCAGTACTTGAGTTGGCCCTCATTGGCTTTGTGGTACTGGCGTACCTGGGTGATGAAAGATTGAAGTGCCCTAGGGTTGCCGTCGAATGACTGAGGGGGAAGAGCCTTCATGCTCGTTCCGCCTTGAAGTTGCTGCATCGAGGCTCGTAGCTGCTCGTTCTCTGAGCGGAGCTCTTGGATCATAGCGGCCAGGTTGCTGGCGCTGTTTCCGACGCTGTTGGTGGACATTGTTCCTGTGGTGAGTATTGCTCAGTGTCACAAGGTAAACCTACTGAACAAGAGTGATCAAAATGTTACGACCTGGCAGCTTCCGAAGGGGGAACACTGTCAGAGGGTTGGGGTTGCTGTTTGCAGAAGCTTAGGTTGTGACTCTGAGACGATGTGGTGTCGTAAGGCGTTGCGCACTCGTTACAATGAATACAAGGTAAGACTTAGATTGATCACTGTCGTGAGAAAGAATGTATCTACAAGTCCAGAATGTCCGTCCTTATATACCTGCCATCCTGTCCTTGTTGTGTTAGGTGGTGAGCTCATGTTGGATGGCTCACTGGTTAGTTGTTGGTGATCCATGATGTTAGGATCACGGTGTGTTATCCCGTGAGCCATTCCCTGGCTCACTGCGGCGTCCTTGGTGAGCCCGACGACTCACCCTTTATGTCTGAGTGAGCCATCACGTGATTTGCCAGGTGGGCCCGATTCTTATCTTATCGCGCTCCCTGATCGCGGGGTCGTCGATTCGCGGCCGCCCTGCTTCCTTGGTTGTTACACTTACCTCAGAAAGCTAGCTCTCCAGGGCATATACTAAGTATATACTAAGCATATACTTAATATATACCTAACTTGCCTTAAGAAGCTAGCTCTCCACAGTATATACTAAGCATATATTAAGTATATTGATATAGTCGTGGTCACGGGGACCGATGATCTCAGATCTCAAATACTCGATTAATGGTATTATATTAAGATATCCCTCCCTATTAAGGGGATATAGGGGTTCTCTATATATATTATAATCCCTAGTCATGTGACTAGGATTTATGAAGGCTAATCATCATGGTTCCGTGATCACCGTGCCGTGATTGCCTAGCGGTGATCACCTTCCCGTGATCACCGACTTGCAGTCACGTGACAGGATCCACCTGGTTGCCTGTCCACTATGCCCGTAACATATATGCCTAATATATAATTAAAGTCTATTTAAAATCTATTATTTCTTAGAATATTGACTTTTTAAAATATACTGTATATACTGCATAGGGTCCGTGCACCTTAATTATACATGCCATTACCCCCCCCCCCCCCCCCCCCCCCCGAGGTTTTCCCGGATTGGGGGGGATGAACTTGAGACTCACCCCTGTGAGCTGCATCCCGCCGTAAACCTGCTCTCAATTTGCTACATCCATGATATTTGACCCTCCGCTTCAGGAGTTACAATAAATGATGTGATTGCTTCTCAAAAAAACAGAAGGAGAATCTGACGTAATCAAGACGCTCGCTCGATGGGTGCAGTTGTCAGGCAGGTCGAGGGCCTACTCGTTGAGTGGCTGAAAACCCTCCGCGGCCACTTTTGATGACCACCGCTCAGAACCATCCGATGCAAACCAAGCCTAACTCGCGACAACAACATCAACGTGTTCTTTTGAAGTCAAGTCAGTACAGTATGCATTGTGGCGTTGCCCAAACAGGCAGCCAAAAGAAGCCTCCATTGCGTTACGATCTGCAGGAGAATCATCTGATTGATCAGTCAACGATACAGCATGAGACCACGAGTAAACCGATGCCGGAGCATTGGAAAAGTCACCTCTTGTATAAATATTCAATAAAGCAAACTCTCAAGTCGGTTACCGCGCCCATTTTCAGGTGCATTAAGCAGTCCATTTCAACTTCTCAACGTCCGACTATTCAGTATAAACAAAGTATTCTACAACCATCATGGCCGAACTGAAGGAAATCCTCGTCATCGGCGGCACAGGTGCTCAAGGTGTGCCTGTTGTCAAGGGTAAGACTCTATGTTTCCCGCACCATACTTGTTCTAATGCAACTGAAAGCCTTGTCTGCGAGTGGACGATACCGCGTCCGGGTCTTGACTCGTAGTGTCGAATCATCACGTGCCAAACAGCTTGGAGCTCTGCAGAATGTCACTCTGATCCAGGGCGCCCAGAACAACCAGGAGGACTTGCACAGGGCGTTCAAAGGCGTATACGGAGCCTGGGTCAACACCGACGGATTCACTCTGGGGGAGAAGGACGAGCTTTTCTACGGATTCAGAGCGTATGAGATCGCCAGAGGCGAGGGCGTGCAGCACTACGTTTGGGCCAATATTGAATATGTCTTGGGCATTGTCGACTACGACGAGGCGTACCACTGCGGCCACATGGACGGCAAAGGACGAATCGGAAAGTTTATCCTTGCTCAAGGCCAGGATGGCATGAAGAGCTCTCTCTTCAGCACCGGACCCTACATGGACATGCTTTTCGACGGAATGTTCGTTCCCAGCGAGCAGCCTGACGGATCGTTTCTATGGGCCAACCCGTCCCGTGAGTTTTTCCTGCCTTGTTCCGAGCTTCATCCCCATTGCAGGCCTCGGCTGACAAATTTCACAGGAGACGATGCCAAGGTCCCCCTGATTGCTCTCGACGATGTTGGCGTTTATAACCTTTGGCTGTTTGACAACCCCGACGAGGCGGCAGGCCTCGATCTCTCCGTCGTAACCGACAACGTGAGCTTCCCGGAAATTGCCAAAACCTTCACCGAGGTCACTGGCAAGCGAGGCGTTTTCAAGTCGACGCCCTTCGAGCACTATGCAAAAGTTGCAGAGCCATACCCGGGAGCCTTTGTGAACTGGTCACTTGGTCCAGATGCGCCTCGGGATGAGTCTGTCATGAGGTGGAAGGACAACTTTGGCGCTTGGTGGCGCTACTGGGGAGAAGGTCGTTCCCCGCTTCGCGACACTGCGCTTTTGGATCGTATTCACCCCAAACGGATCAGGAGCCTCGCCGAATGGATGAAGCTTGTAGGTTACGACGGCAACCGCAAATTTGTGTTGAAAATGGTTGAGGACTGGGCTGCTAAGCAGGGCGGTCAGCCAAAGGCGTAAGATGTGTCGGCTAGGCTCGTTTTTGTTGGAAGGTGAATGAAATCATTTGGCTATCCTATCTCGTGATAAAACAGAAGCAAGTAGCAAAAAGCACCCTTCTTATTTGGCATCAACTTGATGGCCCAGTCTCAGAGTGAAGCTGCCCGGGAAACCCGCTGTAAGGACCTATGGATGCCAGACATCTTCCCCCCAAGCAAATGGCTGAGTCACAATGCAACAATCAAGAAACGATGACATGGAAAACGGTGAAATCGGATGACTTGCAGCCTCATCGTCACTCAGCCGTGGTAGTAGGAACACGGATAAGCACCAGCTTGTGCCATTGCCCCGCATCAGCAACCGAAGTGACTTTTCCGCACTGAGCTCGCTCCCCATCTTCGACACATCTCCGTCCAGCGGCATCCGACTCTTGCTCCTTGCTCTTCCGCTCTGGTTTTCATGTCACCTTCTTGTTCACTCTACCTACCTAGTCTGACGGAAGCTGCCTCGGCGCCTCCCGTATGGCTGCGAATCGCCAATTGCTCCCTACCATGATGGACGAGAGTGGATCCCAGCTTCACAAGAGACGGAAAAGGAACAAGGAGAGACTGAGGGTCACACGGGCATGTGACCGCTGCAAAAAGTTAGTAGTGCAATGATGCTTGATTCGTGTCATCAATGGATTGACTGATGACGATACGCAGGCGAAAGATTAAATGCAATGGGACACAACCGTGCGAATTCTGTGTTCGCGTTAAGATTCAATGCACATATGATGCTGCATATGCAAGAGGGCGGGCGCCAGACATTCCGCCCGTGACTGGGAATGGGATGCATGCCACCGGCGTGGATTCCCAGGATGATATGGTGTCCAACATCATGGCTTCATCGTCAGTTGTGTCAGGGACGGCCATTACGAGCTCAGAGTTGGTGGATCATAACCTGGCTTCGGACGGTCAGAACATTTCGTCCACATACGAAGAAACCCAAGCGCCGCCAAGGTTGGCCGCTTCATCCCAACAAACACCAGAGCCTCCGCAAGAAGACCTGCAAGGGCATTACATTGGTCCCGCCTCTGGGGTGTCTTTTCTCTTGAGAGTGCAGAAGAGGCTACACAAAGCCATTGAGTTTTCTGCGCCAAGCAGCATTTTCACATTTGGAGATGCTCCCATTAGTCCGCCTGACTTTGATCCTTCATTCTGCATGGTCCTTCCGAGAGAAGACGGCCAGAAGCTGCTTGACCGGTATTTTGACTTTGCCATGCCGACCTACCGATTCCTCCATCGGCCTACGTTGCAGGACTGGTTTGATGAGTTTTATGATACTTTGGGCACGATGCGTGACGTTCACAACGCGACGGCCAGAATTGCTCTGCTATTCATGATCTTTGCTCATGCTAGGGTGTACATGCCTGAGAACGCCAGACCAGGCCCCGCAGATTTGAGGTCAGGAAGTCTCTTGTTCAAAGCATCTACCTGGCTAATGACTCGAAACAGTTCTCGATATTTTCTTGCAGCTGAAAACCAACTCTCCAAAGAAAGTGGCTCCATTCGACTGACGAGCATACAGGCACGCCTTCTGCAGTGTTACTATCTTCTCACGCAGTCGCGCGTCAATCATTGCTGGAGCCAATTCGGCACAGTCACGAATTTAGCTCTCGCAATCGGCCTCAACCGCAATAAAAACCCAGGAACAGCAAGTGGGTTAAACTATATTGAGGTTGAAAGTCGCCGCAGAACATTCTGGTGTGCTTATACCCTCGACACTTATCTTAGCGTCTCGCTGGGGAGGCCACGCTCCTTTCACGACGATGATATCGATACCGAACTACCGGCTTGTGTCGAGGATCATGAGATCACAAGGGAGAGCCTTTGCACCTCGTCCATGAATAGGGGCTATTCAATAATGCTGGCCCCCGTGGCACACATGAAGTAGGTAATTTGCAGGCTTGGCGGGATTTTCTTGACGCTAGCTAACAGATCAGGCTCGCCCAAATCATTAGCAAGATCTTACGTTCGCTGTATTCGATTCGACCGATATCAGCTAGCCGCCGTGCGGAAGATACTCAGTCTATTTCTCAAGACCTGAGTGACTGGCGAGCTGAGCTTTCACGGTTCCTAGATGCCGACTTCTTTAGCACTTCGCTCATCGTACCCATCTTTCAACGCCAACGAAATGTGCTCAACTTGACCTACTGGCACGCCATCATTCTTACCCGACGGCAGTGCCTATTGAACAACTTCGCCCAGATCTCGCAGCAGGGGAGACGGCCTAGTAACACTAATATGCAAACCAAGGAACGTATTGATGAGTGTTTGGTAGCTGCGATGGACACCATGAATACAATCGACGATATGACGCAGAGTGGGCAGATGTATCACGCCTTTTGGGTTGGTTTGCTGAACACCATCGCCAGCCCGCCAGAATCTACTAACAAAAAATACAGATTACAGCGTACTTTGGCTTCACTGCGGCCATGGTGCTCTACATCTACGTGATCCAGGAGTGGGCATCTCCACCGGAAACCTACCGCAACTACTTTGCCGCGGCCGCCCGCTGTCAGTCCCACATGGCAACCATTGCACAAAAGGGCTCGCTTGTGGAGCGATATTATCTGGTGCTGGAAGAGCTTAGAGTCGAGGCTTTGCGTCAGATGAAGCGCTTGCATCCGGCCCTCGGCTTTGGCAGCTTGGAAATCGACGCGCAGCTAGGAGGCATCGAGGCCATGGCGATACCTGTTGGCACGAGCCCGAGCACCGGCACAAATTATGCGGAAATAATGGGTGAAGCAACAATCGGCTTCAATGGTATGGGCGTCGCGGGGATCGAAGAGTTTTCTGGCTGGGGACAGTTTGCTTCGATGGTGTCGTCTGGTCTTGGGAACCTCGACATATTCCACTACGATGACACTTTTGGGTTGTGATAGACGGTGGTGGAGAGTGCAAAACAGCTGTGTGACTTTGCTCAAACACGTAGTTCTCTATTCAGCCCAATACCGTGGTGGTCTAATTCTAGTAATATCATATTCTGGATCTGGGTTGTCTGGAGGTTCTCTACGTGGATTTTCTGTGCATGATGGTGGCCGCAGCCTGGTGGTTAGGGAAGATCAGTGTGTCCGCAATAACAACATTCTCCCTTCTCGAGGCGGCGAAAACGATGGCCTCGGCAATATCGTCTGGCGTCAATGGCTCACAGCCCCTACAAAGATGTTAGACCAGCACAAAAAAAAAAAAAAAAGCGGCATTAGATCCATGGGGAAAACCTACGCATAAACGGCGTCGGCCTTGGCTTTGTCACCGCCAAATCTCACGACCGAGAACTCCGTCTCGACTTGGCCTGGATCTATGCCAATGACGCGCACTCTCTTCGAAATCAATTCCTTGCGCAGACTGTGGGTGAAGGACCGAACGGCCGCTTTGGTAGCACAGTAGATGCCGCCGCCGACGTACGGCTCGCGGCCGGCAATCGATCCAATGTTGATGATGTCACCTGAGCCCTCGCCGTTGTTGCGACTTAGCATGCCAGGCAAGATAGCCTGTGTCATGTTGATGAGGCCGGTCACGTTGGTAGCGAACATGACATTGATATCATCCTCATTGATCTCAGGCGCTTTGGCGACGCCCTTGACCAGTCCGCTGGAGGCCCAGGTTAATTGAAGGACATGCTTGTTGGATAGGGGAACGAATCTTACGCATTGTTCACCAAGACGTCAATCTCTTTGAACTCCCCTGGGAGCTTGTCCAGAAACGAGCGCACATCCGCGGCGTTGCTCACGTCGAGGGCCACTGGCAAGACCTTGACGCCGTCACCGACTTCGCTGACAATGTCGACCGCAATCTGCTTGAGGGTGTCAATGCGACGCGCCGTCAGGATGAGCTTGAGGTTCTTTGGGCTGGTCCTAGCGAACTCGAAGGCTGTGGATCGGCCGATGCCGGATGATGCACCAGTAATGAGGACGGTTTTGCCCTCAAGGCGCTTGGACGCTGCTGATGCCATATTGTGAATATCAATCTGTAAAGATGAGTAAAGATGCGGCTTGGTCGACGGATGGTCTGTAACGTGTCACGAAACTTGTGATAGGCGTACTGCGGGTAATCTCTGATGAACAAACACCATGATATAAGCTGGGAGAGCTGTCGATCTCGTTCCCCGCACGCTGACATTGAGGCAACTGTGGGATTGCATTCGTAACAGTGGATATGCCCCGCTGCGGCTTTTCCGTTCCTAGCACTCTGTTGGTGGTTGATGGTGGGTGATCAGGGCTTATCCGTCGGGAAAGGATCACGACCCGTCGACTACCACTCAACAGCATGCCATGGGCTCCATCTTTGGGGATCTGAGTCGTTTGATAGTGGCAATGATTCGACAGGACGACGAGTTGGTATTCTGACCCCGCAAAGTTGTCTCCGAGGCGACAGTCCGCCCGGCGCACAGAAGTGATCTTGACGGGTGGGACTCTGATCAGCTTTCAGAGTACTGAGCTGCCGAAAGGGACGTGGGGTAACCACGGGAGCACCACCTACGCGTCAATCGGACTTTCGCGACTCGACCGAGGCGGATATCCCTCACTCACAGTATAAGGACCTGTAGCTACCTACACTACACTCCTCACTCTGTTCAACGCGCTCTTCAAGCAGATCCGAGTCGAACGGAACCACTCACGTATCTTCAAAGCAAAGACAGCAGTCATCATGGGCCCTCAAACAGCCCCACCTAGCGGCGTCTGGGCTCCGACCATCACCTTCTTCAACCACGAGGACGACACTCTTGATCTCGATGCTCAAGGAAAGTACTATGCATACTTGTCCAAGTCGGGCCTTCACGGTCTGGTGGTCCTTGGAACCAATTCAGAAACCTTTCTCTTGACGCGCGAGGAGCGCAAGACACTCCTGGAAACCGCGAGGAGCGCGTGCGGGCCAGATTACCCCATCATGGCTGGTGTCAGTGGCCATTCGACCAAGCAGACGCTGGAGTTTATCTCAGACGCACACGAAGCGGGTGCCAACTACTGTCTGCTCCTCCCCCCGGCATACTTTGGCAAGCAAACCACACCAGAGGTTATCAAAAACTTCTTTGACCAGGTTGCGAGCAAGAGTCAGCTCCCGATTGTCATTTATAACTTCCCTGCGGTTTGCAACGGCATTGACCTCGATTCCGCAACCATTGCGGCCCTCGCCCGGAGGCACTCGAACATTGTCGGCGTCAAACTGACCTGTGGTGCCGTGGCCAAGATTACCCGTCTCAGCGCCGAGCTCCCGGAAGAAAGCTTTGCGACGTACGGTGGCCAGTCGGACTTCCTGATCGGCGGCCTAGCTGCCGGTTCGGCCGGAACCATTGCCGGTTTCGCCAATGTTTTCCCCCGCACCATCGTGCACATCTACAACTTGTACAAGGAGGGCAAGTTCCAGGAAGCTATGATGCTACACAAGAAGGCAGCGCTGGCTGAACAACCTTGCAAGGCAGGCATCGCCGCCGTCAAGTACGCTGCCGCCCTGAACACGGCCAAGGCGGCCGGTATCGAAGGTGCGGTCGAAAAGTTGAGGCCGAGACAGCCGTATGTCGAGCCCTCAGCGGCGGCGAAGAAGGCTATTGAAGAGCAAACCGCAGAGCTTGCAAAGGTAGAGGCGACTCTGAGAGGGGAGGCGAAAGCCGAGCTAACCAATGGTTCTACAAACGGGGCGTGATACTGGTGGCAGTTGGATGCTGTTTAGAACCTGCAAATATATACTACAGTTGTACGAAACCGTTGAATCAGAGAAACCTTCCAGAAACGATATTGACTCTGATGTGAACCCAGACCGGGCTATCAATATCCGACCAGCTATTCCTGTAGTCGGAATCGGCCATGTTGCCCTTTCGTGATGCAAATGTCGGGTTGGTTGCAAGCGATACTGATGATCTTTCGGATGATGCGCGTACATCGAGAAAGGTTTCAACGTCCGGACGCGTAGAATCACCTGCCGATCTTACATGGTTGAAAAATCACAACTGCGTGGAACGGCGATGATTCAAGTAAAGGGGAATATATTCTGCCTGCTAATTGAATGACAAACTAATGGGCAAAGTTCCAAATCAGTGAAACATATCTTCTGGTGCAAAGTGATACGTGTCGGTGCCACTCTCCAACATTTCCCTACAGAACGTGCTTGAACAAAGGAGATCGATCTCCCATTTCAAACAGCTCCTCCTCAGTGTACTTTTGCTTCGCCTCCTCCGCAATCCTTGCCTTGCGCGCATTGGCATGCTTGTAGCTCAGCTCGAGAAGCACAGCGACGATCATACCGCTCGCGCCAAAGGCCAAACTGAGGCCAAAGCCGGTATGGTACTTGGGCTTCTCGCGCTCGAGGTACATGAAGCTGCCGACAATACCACCGACGTTGCCAACACAGTTCATAAGAGCAATGCCGATCGCTCGCCTCGAGGATGGTGCAATGTTGTTGGCGTTCCACGACGCCGCAGCGGCCTGAATGGGGTAGATACCGATGACGGCAAGAACCACAGAGAAGTAGGCAACGGCTCGCTTCTCCTTAAGTTCTCCATTGAGGGAGATGATGATTGAGTACGCCGTCGTGACGATGGCCATGGGGGTGACAACGAAGGGCATGCGCCAGAAGAACTTGTCGGAGATCTTGGCGAAGATGATGGCAGAAGCCGCTGCGGCCACATAAGGGGGAGCAGAGGTCAACTGAGCGTTGGTAGTGCTGAAACCCATAGACTTGGTGATCGTAGGGAGAGTGAACTTGATGCCTTCGATGCGTGTCAGCTTGTAATTTCTGGACAGATTGGCCATTGATCAGACTTACCATAAGACAGAGCCGACTGGCAGAGCAGGAAATAGGCCTGAACATAAATCCTCCAGTTGGTCAGGACCATCTTCAGGTCTTTCCACTTGACAGCAGATTTCCTCGCGGAAGCCACCGCCCTGCTTGATGAACATGGAAAGCTCCAGGTAGCGGATTTCATCAGGCTCGAGCCAGCGTGTCGACAAGGCGGGCGTGTCGATGAGCAGGAAGAAGCAGGCGACGCCCAGAACCACGGTAGCGAGGCCCTCGAGAATGAAGATCCAGCGCCATCCCTCGTAGCCGCCAACCCCGTGCATCTTGGCGATGCCTGCGGCCAACAGACCAGAGAATGCACCGGAGAGAGCGCTCGCGCAGTAGAAGTATGAAATCCTAGAGCTGAGATCTTTGGGCATGTACCAGTAGCTGCAAAGATAGATCGCGCCAGGGAAGAAACCAGCCCTAAGAGAAGAGGTTAGCTACTTTTCATGCCTGCCAGATTCAACTGAAAACTCACTCAAAAATGCCGAGAAGAACACGAGTGGCCATGAGGCCGCCGAAGTTCTTTACCAAGCCAGTGCAGGTCATGATAATTCCCCAGGAGAGAGTCAGAATACCAAGGTACATCGAAGGGCGCTTGAACTTCTTGAGGATGATGTTACTGGGGACCTCGAGTAGGACGTATGGGACGAAAACTTGTCAAACCTGTTAGCAAATCGCAGAAACTGTCAACCGAGGCGGTGGAACGAACAGATGGATAGGACAATGTTGTACTGAACGCCTGTCATGCCCAGGTCTTGTACCATGCCCTCGATTTTGGCATTACCGATGTTCGCGCGATCAATGTGGCAGATCAAGTAGAGCAAGGCGAGCATCGGCACCAGGCGAAAGTCAACCTTCATCAGAGTTAGCCGCTTCAGATCTGGGTCTGATGGGGGAGTGAGATGCTGACCTTGCGGAAGACTCTCTTGCGCTTGTCCTCCGGATAAGTTTCGAAGAACTCTGCATCAGCAGGATCTAGGCCGAACACGCGGAAGCCAGCAATATCGATAGCTTGAGACGAGCTCTCAACGTGAGCCTTCTGGTCGACAGACTCGACGTCATGCTTGTCAATCGAGCTCCTGAGAGCCATGTTTGCAGGAGTTGTGGCGGGGGGAGAGATTGGTGGCGCCAAAGGGTTTGTATCGAGGAACTTGGAAAGTCGGAGGGTCTGTCTGATCAGCCTTTCACATATCGAACGGCAACGAGTTGGTATTATACCCAGAGTATCTGGGAATGACCCGTGTGCTTGACCCCAGACTCACTTACCCCAGATACCCCAGATGCTCCAAGCAAACTGGGCAATGCTTGACTCTGACCTGCCCCCAGACAAAGTGCGGGGATTGGCCTCGAGCGGAAAAGCAGTACCTGTCAGTCGCCGTTGATCATCAGTAGAACACCCAATCACAGTACCATCCGCGACAGTATCCGCCATGTGCGTGTGGTAGAGCCTGAGGAGAACTACCGGACACTTGCCTCTTTCGGGCATCGTGGCTGGCGTTGGTGTTGCATCCATGGCGACTCGGTACTGACGGACTTGGCGGATTTGACGGATTCTTGGCGGATTCTTGGAACAATCACCACCTTCTCGACTCGAATTCTGTCAAGACCACTTTGCTCCCCGCGGAAACGCACGTCCTCGGAGAGATCATACACTGCGTTCTGCCTGGGCAGGTCGGATTGAAATCCGCAAAGAGCGCCACCATCTTCGCATCTCAGACGCACCAGGAGCCACTCCGGTGCGACAACTTCATCTTGACCACGTTGCATCGGGATATGTCACAAAGTTGCGTTTTCCGTGTTTGTCGGCTCGGCCGTGAGCCGCGGCACTAGGTGACCCCTCAACGGTGACCCCTCAACGGTGACCATCATAATCCGTCATTTGAAAAGCCTAGTCGGGACTTTCTCGCGGGCTTCCTGCGGTACCTGCCAAAGGACTATTGTTCATTCGAGTCAACAAAAGCTTTTCTGGACTGCGGCCGCCCCTGTCTCTTATCATCTGCAGCCATGTCCCGACGCGGGGTCATCAAAGACATCATTATCACGCCCGTGGCGTTCCATGATATGCCCCTGCTCAACAGCGTGGGCGTACACGAACCATTTGCTCTGCGCAGCATCATCGAGGTCATTACAGAAGACACTTACGGCTTGGGAGAGTCCTACGGCGACTCAACGCATCTTGACCGCCTGAAAGCAGCCTCTAAGCAGATTAAGGGTCTCTCGGTGTACAACACAAATGGTATCTATCAGAAGTGCACCGCGTCGCTCGAGGGCAACGCTACGTCCGGTGGTGATGGCATGGCAGGCATGGTGACGACGGCGTCCGTTGCTGACAAGGTCTTCTCCCCTTTCGAGGTAGCGTGCCTCGATATTCAGGGCAAATTAGCTGGCGTCCCTGTAAGTGACCTGCTCGGCGGCCGCGTCAGGGATCAAGTCCAGTACTCGGCGTATCTATTCTACAAGTGGGCGGGTCATCCGGGCGAGGCGGACGACGAATATGGAGCTGCCCTTGATGCGCCGGGTCTGGTAAGACAGGCGCAGAAAATCATTGATGAGTACGGCTTCAAGGCGATCAAACTCAAGGGCGGCGTGTATCCACCTGCTCAGGAGGTCGAGGCCATCAAGGCACTGCATGCGGCTTTCCCCAACGTGCCTCTGAGGCTCGACCCGAACGCCGCTTGGACCGTGGAGACGTCAAAGTGGGTTGCGGCCGAGCTCAAAGGTGTTGTCGAATACCTAGAAGACCCAGCACCCGAGATCGACGGCATGGCTGCCGTGGCCAAGGACGCTTCAATGCCTCTGGCGACCAACATGGCCGTCGTAGCCTTCTCACACCTTCCATCGTCAATTCGGCAAGATGCCGTGCAGGTGATTCTGTCTGATCACCACTTCTGGGGTGGCCTGCGCAAGTCTCAGCAGCTCGCTGCGATATGTGCAACGTGGGGAATGAGGTTGTCGATGCACTCCAACAGTCACCTCGGCATCTCTTTGGCCGCCATGACGCAGCTTGCGTCAGCAACAACGAACCTTGACTATGCCTGCGACACTCATTGGCCGTGGAAGCGTCGAGATGAAGATGTCGTCGTCGACGGCGCGCTGAAATGGTCGGAGGGCGGCGTCATCGTACCGAGGACACCGGGGCTAGGTGTTGAGCTAGACCGTGGTAGACTCGCTCGGTTGCATCAACAATATCTCGACTGCGGCCTACGAAAGAGAGATGACACCACTTACATGAAGAAGTTTCACCCAGACTTCTCGGCACATATCCCAAGATGGTAAAACAGGATACTTCAATTAGTGGCTGTCTAGCCCCATCCAAGAAACATAATAAAGACTATGCACGAAGAATTGTATCCTTGACCACATTCAATATCAAAACTTGCGAGCATGTTAGTCATACCGATGGATGAGCAGAGTGAAGCAGTCTTCCGCGGGCGACATCCGCAGTCATTTGTAAGATAGGAGGCCCCAATACATCTGGTATCTGGCGCTGCAGCCCTTACCTATACAGTCCCGTGGTCCCAAGTCCCCAACTAGCCTCTGTGCCCCCTGATCCTCGTCTCCACAGGTGCCTCTTGATACCGAAGGCCATCAAAACACTGCGCTTGGCCCTGTAGCAGGCGATGCTCTGAAAGACTGGCTCTACTCTGGCTTTTCAGGAATGACTTTCTAGGTACTCTAGCCGGTATCAAAAAAGCGGCGTGGTGTTCAGATAACACCATCCAAAGCTGCACCTCCAAGCTTCGGCTGCCGTGCACCCATTAAGCAAGGTATTGCACAAATGAACAACTTCTTTACATCAATGTTGTGCATCTTATGCTTCTAGTTTTAAGCAAAGGAGCCTGCTTTCTGTCTTGTACGCCATGAGTTCGCTTACTCAAGCCTCTATGATCCCCTAGAGAAATAGCGTGCTCGAAACCGCCAGTGCATAGCGGCCCACCCAGATCCGCGGGTTGTCGTCGGATTCGAATTCGAGTTCGGCTTCAATGGCTCGAAATCGAGATCGTATTCGACCCCGTGGAGAATAGAGGCTTGAGCAACTGATTTGGACGGCGGATCCTACGTTTGCAATGCATCAAGTCAGAGCACCAGCTCAGGGGACCTGGGATTGCAGTGGCACCGGTGCTGGTGACGTGTTAATTTATAAAGTTTAAAAAGCTTGGCCTTCCCTGCGAGGCTGAAATATTTTGGCATACTCACAACGCAAATCATTCCGCCCTGTGGAAGCCAACTTGATTCTTTCCATATACAAGAAGAAGCCGCCTCCATGTCTACCTCCTTCACTAACAAGACCGTCATCGTGACCGGCGGCGCAGGGGGGGCTTGGCTTCGCCATTGTACAAGCGTTCCTCGCCGCAGGCGCCAACGTCGTGGCGACGGATATCCAAGACACGCTGCTCGATGCGCTTCCTGCCGCTATTGAAGCCGAGCACAAGGAGCGCCTGCTCCCGTACAAGTGCGACAGTTCCGACGACGCTGGCGTGCAAAAGCTCGTTAGCGACACGGTGGCCAGGTTTGGCAGGCTCGACATCTTGGTCAACAATGCAGGAATCCTGGACAAGTTGCTGCCTCTGGCCGAATGCACGCGCCAAGTCTAGGACTCCAACCTCCTGGTCAACCTGACGGGCCCCTTTGTCACGAGCCAAAACGCCGTTCGGCAGTACTTGTCACAGGAGCTCGTCAACGGGCACCGTGGTACCACCCTAAACGTTATTAGCACAGCTGGAAACCACGGCGGAAGAGCAGGTCAGTCAACAGGAATGCCCTATGTTTGCCTTTCAAAGGCTAAGAAGTTAACTTTCCATCCCTCAGGCGTCGCGTACACGGCCTCGAAACACGGCTTGGTTGGGTTAACTAAGAGCACCGCGGCGTTCTACGGTCCCAAAGGCATCCGATCAGTCGGGACCATGCCTGGTGCCATGCCCACTAATATCTCAGGAGGAAGTCATGATATCTCGCGGCTCCACCCCGAGGGCATGGCTCTGTGTAAGTCTTCTGTTCGCCCACTCTGGAGAAGTCAGCAACAAACAGCTTACGCATTGTTCAGCGGGGGCGACTTGTCAAACGTGGCAAGGTGAGCCTGGTAAAGGTGGCTGGAACCTCGGGATATCCCCTCTGGAACAGGTTGCCAAGACAGTTCTTGTCTTGTGTTCAGATGGCATGAACACCATCAACGGAGCTCTAGTACCGACAAACATGGGTTGGGCGGCGGTGTGATTTGCGCATGCAAAAGTTGAGGGAGCGATATCGCTTGTTTTCAAGTTTCTCTGGATAATGAGCCAGTAGGTATGGTCGAACGCATAGCCTCAACAAACATTCAGTTGCCCAGTTAAGATGTTGTTCAAGTGCAGGTTCTCAGGTGGCTCCTCCAGTCATTGAACCTGGAAATGGTACAATTACCGACCTAAAACGCCACTGGCCCGAAGCCTGCGTACCGTTTCACTTGACAACAGTTCGGCCCTCATGATAAGGTAGTGAAAGGTGGGTAGATATGCCGGCAAGGCCGGGAGGTAGAGAGGTGAGATATGCTGGACATCGCTCCACAACGCCATGTCTCAAGCACCAAGCCTGGTGGCAGTCAACTCTGACCACGAGACGAGTAACATTGGGATCGTCACAGTCTCCAAGATGACCATAATGCTTAGGCTGACCGCCACCAAGCAAGGAACAAGGCCCGTCACCCCCAATCCCCCGCATATTCTCATCACGGCACAGCAACAAAAGTCGGCCCATTGCCCAATTGGTGCTGCGGGGTGTTACATCAGGACCCTGGCGTCGACGCAGCTCCCTCCCCATTTGAGAAGCTTCTTTCCCGATCGCGACACACACGCCGGGCGAGCGTATCGCCTGCTCTCGTCTACCGTGGTGCAGGATGCAACTACAACACCACCGAGATCATCGTCACATGAAAATCCTCGGCTCAGCAGTCAGTCTGGGCGGAGGATAGAGGCGCTGGGCGTGTTCCAGCATAAATACAGGAATCTCTTTGCGTTTCGACCTCTCTCGGATCCGATGCTTCTGGTCTGCTCTGTCTCGGCGCTGTTCGCTGCAGTCTCGTCACCATGTTGTTGCAAAGTGCTTCCCTCTTGATGCTGGCCTTGACGGCCTCCGCCGAGCCATATAACACCTATGACGGCCCTGGCTTCCCCGCCTGCCACGATGTAGCAGCCGTGTACAACCCCAAGACCGTTGACGACATCCAGGCGGTCGTTCAGGAGGCCATCGCCGCTGGCCAAAAGGTCCGCGCCTCAGGGCTCGGACACATGTGGTATGACACCATGTGCTCGGACGACCCGAACACCGTCATCATCAAGACGGAGGAGGTGCACAACATCTATGATCTCGACCTTGAGGGTGGTTCCGTGTGGTTCGAGGCTGGCGTGACCTTTATCCAGCTCGCCGAGTGGCTGCACGAGCGCGGCGCCTCGGTCGGCTACACGCTGGTCAACTGGAACATTACGTTGGCGGGCTCCGTTGCCATGGGCGCCCACCGGTCGTCGATCCGTGAGGATTCGATGGTCGCTGCCGGCGTGTTGGAGATGGACATTGTCGACGGCACTGGTCAGGTCAGACGCATTGTGCGGGACGAGAAGAACGACGACTGGTTGGCTGCTAGCACTTCTCTCGGTCTGCTGGGCGTCATCGTGAGGATGAAGTTCAAGATCTACCCCGACTTCAAGGTCTATGCCGACCAGAAGACGTAAGCTTCTCCCCCAACGCCGGCGTTAGATTCCCGGAGGATGGGCACTGACCTTGTATAGGCTTGATGAAGATGAGGTACTCAACGGAGACATTTATGGCATGATTGCGCCTTACGCAACTGCTAACTTCTGGGTAAGCTTTCTAGAGCGCCACAAGACCTGACAGTAAGACAGAACAATGACTGACATGGATGCTGCAGTGGTGGCCGTACAAACGCAAGTTCCATTGGCGCTACTACGATGAAGTTCCCGAAGGCACAAGCGAGCAGCAAGGCTTCCAGAACACGTTCTCGGTGACGGCGCTCGAGGGCAACACGGCGCGCGTGCTTCTCGACAGCGGCAAGTATCTGGCAACGTCAAATATGCTGGCCGAAGAAATCTTCTTCGGGCAGTGGGAGAAGCCCAACTTCCGCGAGAAGACGACGTGGACGCCCATTGAAAAATGGCCAGTCTACGGCTGGAACTATGATGTGCTCATCGGCGGTCTGTACCCAGATCAGCGGCCGAACTGGGAGTACGGCTTGCGCGCGTACACGCTGGAGCTGGCGTTCCCGATTACGCAGGCCAACACTGTGCTCAAGCGCGTCAGGGCGCTATTCGATGAAGAGCTGCGCAAGCTCACGGTCATGACTTCGACGTATCGCAGCGGCATCAACATCAAGTTCGGCAAGCCCTACTTTGACTTCTTGGGCCAGGTGACTTACAACACCTCGGACGGTGCAGACTGGACCAAGGGAGCCATCATGTTTGACTTCCCGAGCTACCGACCGAGCATTGGAGATAATCTTCGCTTTAACGAGCCGTTCTGTAAGCTGAATGTCCATGTTCGAGGGGCGTGAGGGGCCGTGTGAGGCTGACATGCAGCAGACCACAAGCTCGCCAAGACACTCGTCGACGAGTTTCCCTGCCGCCCTCACTGGACCAAGAACACGAGGGAGGTCTTCAAGAACTCGGCAAAAAACATTGACCCTGATGTAAGTGGAAGAATTTTAGTACGAATGCCGTGAGCGGGTAGCATACTGACTGCTGCAGCACCTGCGCCGATTCAAGGTTGTCAGGAAGAAGTTTGATCCCAATGGGGTCTTTAAGAGCGTCGTCGGCGAGACCCTGGGACTCTATTAGTCTTCTTGAACGATTTGCGGCTCCGCTGTGCATAGGTTAAGCCCAGGACATCCAATCCAGCTGGTCGGCTGCACTCTCCGTCTGCTTTGGCTTTAGAATGTCGATAGCTATTAACTGCCACTTACGCTGATCGACTGACAATCGTCGCCGGAGCGAAGATACGCTACCACGTGAAGGGAAACAATGTCCTCATTGTCGTCCGAGTCGTAGATATCATCGTCGTCCGAGTCGTAGATATGGTGACGTCCTATTGATGCTGGCGCGAGACTGAGGACATCCAACGAAGACGACATTGCATGTGACTAACCCCTCTCCTCCGTGGATGACATCACATCATCAATTGTACCACCTCTAGTCTCACCCCTTATATGACCTACTCACCTCAAATTGCCCTGGCTGATCTTCGTCTTGTGTTACCACTGGCAAAACCACCTCAACTCATCGAAGAACACTTGTTGCGCACAGATAGACTCATCATGTCACCGATTTTGATCATCGGCGCCACACGGGGGCTCGGCGCTGCCCTTATCAAACGCTACGCTGAGCAGCCGGGCTACACCGTCTACGGCACGACACGTTCATCCCAGGCGCCAGCCGATTTTCCGCCGCAGATCAAGTGGCTGCCGGACATTGATTTGATGGATCAGTCGGTTGGCTCGAAACTTGTAAGCCTCCTTGGCGGTGCACAACCGTTGTCGGCCGTCTTCGTAACTGCGGGCTACTTCACGACAGAATACCTCAGCGCCGATAAGGGGCCCAACTGGGCCGAAGAGCAGCGCATGTACACGACGAGCGCCATTGCACCCGTCTTTCTTGTGCATGCGTTGACGCACGCGGGGCTGCTGCGCAGTGGAGCCAAGCTTGTGCTCGTGTCCTCTGAGAGCGGATCAATTGGACTGAGGCATGAGGTCGAAGGTGGCGGCAACTACGCCCATCACGCGAGCAAGGCGGCGCTGAATATGGTTGGCAAACTGCTGAGCCTTGACCTCCGGGAGAGGGGTGTTATCGTCAGCATTGTGCACCCGGGCTTCATGCGCACCGAGATGACGGCCGGTGTGGGGTTCGACAAGTACTGGGACGAAGGCGGCGCCGTCACACCCGAGGAAGCGGCGGCGAGCCTTGCTCAGTGGACCGACGGCTTAGATATCAGCAAGACGGGAGAGTACTGGGCGCCCAGAGGACCACGTAAGTCGTCACATCTAGTTCGTCCTCGTCAAGGGCAAGCGCCGAAAGGGCAAGCGCCGATACTGGAATGCTAATGGTGTCTTGACTCCTTCAGGCGACATTGGTACGGCCGAGGCGACGCTTGGCAAGGGCCTGCCTACGCCGTTGCAGTTGCCGTGGTAAATCAGGTCTGTCTACTCATGAAGGTAAGAAAGAGGCTTGGCCTGCCATCATTGAGAAAGGGGCCATTGAACCGATGTGTCATGAGAGTCCAGGGTGTAAACCTATGAGCAGTCGTTTCTTAGTATCAAGGATCAGAAGGTCACGAACCTCAAACAAGAACTGAGTGAGCAAGCGGCCCTTGAAAAGAGCAAGCTTGTCACGAGAAAATAACTCTGGTCACTGAAACACGTCTCCCGGTCACGTCGTGACGTGAATTTTATCATCGCCATTCCCGACCACCTGCTGGCAGAAGTAGCGCGTGGAGCCGGTCCCAAGATGTTTCATGGCAAGCTCCACAAACATCTGGCATCTGTGGGTTTCCTGACGCGAGAAAGAGAACGCGAGGGAAAAAAAAAGGAAATGAGCCACCCCTTGATGTCCCCCATCCCCCTGTCCATCGGCCATCGGAGTCACCTCTCCAGGGCCCTCGGCTTGCTGCGCAATCTCCCAACCCGGGATGCCAAGACGGCGCCGTGCTGCGAGGGATGCACATCGTGCATCGCCGGCGGCCTGGAAGGGTTCGCTGACAAGGACAAACGAGCGAGGCAGTTCTGAGTCAGCGACGAAAGTGAAGAAGGTATCCAAGCAGTTCCAGGTGTTGCACGCATGTCTGAGATCTGAACGGTATTTGTATCGCCAAGGATGCAATTGAGGAGTTGGTAAAGAGTCGAGGGCTGAGGACAGATAGCGTAACAACTGGAACAAGAGAAGCTCAACCCTCCACCCACCGCGGGCGGCTACACACAGGCGAGCTCTGGGCAGCCCGGCCCCCCTTGCAATACTTGAAGCCAGCATGCAAGTCAAGTAGGACAGGCCTTGACGCTACCCGGGGCGACGACCAAAGGGAAAGTGCCGTTGTCTCAACAATTTGTTTTCCGAGCCTCGAACAGCGAGCGGAACACGGGATCCTGCCTGTGAATAAAAAGGAGGAAACCGAGACAGACAGCATCGAAGGAACGCAATCGGGCTGAAGTCGACCGAGGACAGGGGGCTGCTGGCCATTGATGGAGCAGAGCAGCAGTGTAAATGGGACCTGGCTAAAAATCATGGTAATCATAAGATTTGGAGGTGATGACGGACAGAA